ACAAGCTCGATCACGGTGATGACAACGCTCCTGCCCGTGTCTATCCATCTGATGATCTTCATCAACGATATCGGATCACTACTGATATCAGGCCCTAAACCACCTCTCACTGCGGACAGATAGCAATGGTCGCTTCGTCTATTACCCGCAATCTGTGGTACGAGATCTTCCTCCCACTTCTGATGTTACCTCTAAACAATATCAGTCGTCGGCCATCGATCAACTCCGTCGCACGGATATTCACCACTGCAACTTCTGGTGTCGGTTGGATCTGGTGGATGCTTTCGGCTGTGCCCGAATTCATCCCACCCTGATGACAAAGATAGCGACCACTAGCGTCGACCCTATCACTGGCAAGGAGCACGTCTGGCAAATCTGCACCATACCCCAGGGATGGTGCTGGTCAAGTATTCTCTTCCATACCTGTGTACATTGGCTTGTACACAACCCCATCAAAGAAGCTCTCGCAAAAGCTAACTGCCCGTGCTCTGTCCTATTCGTGCAAGATGACATCCTGCTAGGTTGTCCTACCAAAGCTGATTCTATGAAGGCTCTTTCTATCGTCACCAGTGTCCTACAAGACTATTGCTTTGCTGTTAACCCCCTGAAGACTGTCGGCCCGGCATCGGTAACTCCCTTTTGCGGTCTGGTCATCGAGTCAGGTGGACGCTATCGTCCGCATCCATCGCGGAGGGTACTCACTGAGGCATCCTTCGATCTCGCATGGGACGAGTTTATCAACGGAACCTTCAAGGCCAAGCGTAAGCGAGGAGCTCCTAAAGTTGCCGCAGCTGCCTCGAACCTCAAAATCTCGTCTCGGGTATCAGGGCTCAAATCATGGTGTGGTACATTCAACTACTTCCTTGGTCACCTTGCGAAGCAGCAGCTTGACGCTCTGCATGCTCTCACTGACGTGTCCAAGCGACTCCAAGATCCTGCTATTACCGACGAGGAGGTGGAAGCTCAGAGTACCCTTGTACACGCGGCTTTCAAGTCACTGTTCGACTATTATCTCAGTGGTATACCGGCTCTATATGCCGCTCGAGACGGTCAAGCCATCGGCACCATTGTCCTTAGTGATGCCACTGCCATGGGTGGTCTGCTATCATCTTAAGGGTACAACCTACTGTCCGCTCA